TCCCGGCGTGGAACTCTCTTGATTATCGGTGTTGACTTGAGGAATAGGTGTGGTGACTTGTGTCGGTGAAGCTGAAATGTTCGTCGGCATAGTTGGCTGTGAAGATTCTCTTGGTGGGGATCTTGAGACCAGAAGCTTGGGAATGGATGATGACGCTGCGTTGTCGAAAGTTGGAGACGGTTTGGTCTGATTGGCGCTGTTTCTCGGTGTTGAAGATGGCGGTAACTGATGACGGCCGATTCCGGGACGTGGGGGTGAAGTTGAGAAAGGTCTTGGGTGAAGAAGTGGGCTGTTGGAGCTGGTGTTGGTGGTGATTCGCTGAAGTGATCCTCGTGCTATGAGCTGGCTTGACGTTGGAACCTGAAGTGATGAACGTGTGTGAGAACGAGATGTTGCGGTAATGGTTGTCTTGTTGGTAGGAAGAATTGTAGATGGTGCTGATGTAGGTACTTGGAGTCTTGTAGCTGTAGGTTGCTGCTGCATTGGATGATGGTGAGCTTCTGTAGTTGCCTCTGAATTGACGGCTGGTGATGGGTTTGATGGTGTAGTGGTGGGCTGATCCGGGTGACGTTGAACTTGCGGGGTTGGTGTTGAAGTAGCTGGCTGGTTGGTGACGGTTGGCTGCTGCTCCTTTGGCGGTGATGTAACGGTGACTTCTTGGGGTGGATTGTCTTCATTTGACGGCTGAACCACATCTCCACTTGGTTGAGTAGCTGCTGGTGGCACTGGTGTGGCGCAGCTGGTCTCGTTGAGGACGGCTTGCGGGAGATCGATGATGGGTCCGCTATGGTCAGAATTGGTGTCATCTCCGTCCTCCTCTTGTGTTGTTTCCTTAGGTGCTCTTGCTGGTTCCTGTTGGAGAGAGGGTGGTAGAGAGGAGGAAGAGGAAAACTTGTGCCAATCTGCAAGGGACATGTCTTCATAGAAGACCACATCCCTTGAAACCACTTCTCGCTTGGTGACGGGATCCCAAAGGACCCATCCCTTGCTCTCGTTGCTCATGCCGATGAAGAGGCCCCAATGAGCTCTGCTGTCCAGCTTGACTCTCTTTGCATCTGGAACACGGTATTGGGTCATGGAACCAAAAACACGAAGCATAGACAGATCTGGTTTAACTCCAAACCAAGCCTGATATGGCGTTACACCATCCGGTAGGGGCCTTGTGGGTCTCCTGTTGCGAACATAGATTGCCATAGTGATTGCCTCACCCCACCAGAGCTTGTCAAGGCCCTTAAACTGAAGAAAAGTGGTAGCTATTGCTTGAATAGTGCGATGAAACCTCTCTGCAACTCCATTTTGCTGAGGACTATAGGGACAAGTGAACTGTTGTTTGATGCCCAATGCCAACAACTCCCCCTGAAATGCTTTTCCCATGTACTCACCTCCTCGGTCCGACCTCAAGGTGAGTAACTTCTTCCCTGACTCTCTCTCAACAAGTGCTAGCCATTGCCTGAAACACTTGTGAACTTCATCCTTGGTGTTGATGAAAAATGACCACGAGAAACGACTCTTGTCATCAATGAAAGACACCAAATATCTCTTACCGTTTCGAGTAGGGTCTCGCATGGGGCCAAATACATCAGTGTGGACCAACTCTAGGAGGTCCCTTGACTGAGACTTAGAAGGGAAAAATGGCTTTCTAGCTAGCTTACCCTCAACACAAGATGGACATGGAACGGAAGAAAGGGACTTGACTGCAATTTCACTCAAACTCAATCCTTCCACGCTCTTGTGATTCACCAACTCTTTCAATGCTTGCATTCCCAAGTGCCCCAAGCGTGCATGCCATACCTCAGCTTGGGAGATACTCCCTTTGTTGGTTGAAACAGCGGGAAGCGAGACAACGTCGTTCTTCGTATTGTTAGAACCGCGCTTGATCTCCAACTTCATCTTGTAGAGCTGCCCGGTATGCTCGCCTTCAGCCACCAAATTTCCTGCACTGTCCCACACTTTGGCTTTCCCCCCTTGCAATAGTACAGAGGCACCTTTCTCTTCAAGTTGTCCAGCTGAGAGCAAGTTTGCTCCCAAATCAGGAACAAACAAAGCTTTATTGACACAAAATGACTTACCATCATTTTCGAACTCAAGCTTGCCGACTCCTTTGATAGGTACTTTGCCAAGATCAGCAAGTGTCACAGCTTTTGAGTCATATGAGGGCTGAAAATCCTTGAGAATGGACTGATAGGGAGTCATGGTTTCAGAACAGCCACTATCAAGGATAAACTCCTCACTACTAGTAGAAAAAACGTGCATGCAAGTGGCGGCGTTGAAAAGTACAGGACCTTCAGAATCTTTGGACTCATTTTGACTTGTAGAATGACTTGCCATGTTTGCTATGGCTGCCTTACCCTTTTCGGATAGTAGCTGAGGTGGGGGAACCCAATTAGGAGGCTTCTTAGGACAAGCATACCACGGATGACCCCACTCATGACAACAAAAGCACTCGAAATTAAACTTTTTAGCATTTGAGGCTTGGCTGAAATTATTGACTCTTGGCGTATAGACTCGTGCATTCCTAGGCTGATATTGATTGGGAATAGAAGGCCTTGGCTGGACATAGGGACTTGACTTATAGGGAGGACTTGACTGAGCAAAACGAGAGGGTTTGTATGGGTTGGAAGGTGACTGAAAATTCGTACCATAGTAAGGTTGAGGGCGGTTTGGGCTGAAATTTCCTTGCCTCTGGGATTGGTTGCCATATCTTGTAGCTGCTGCAGCACTCCACGCACCCTCGTCACTCCGCTTGTTTCGTGCAAGGTCTCGACTTTGCTGCTCGTTGACAAGGGCTTCGAAGATGAACGCACGGGTCTTCATTGATTGCGGAAGTGCTTGTAGTGTTGCACGGAAAGTGTCCCACTCCGGTGTAAGGCCGGTGAGGATGACGGTCTTGAAAAGAGACTCTGGAATCTCCAAGCCGATCGCGGCTGCTTCCTCTAGCATCGTTTCAGCTCGTTGAAGGTAGGTTTGGGCTGGTTCTTCTTCTTCCATCTTGAGACTCATGAAGCGGCTCCACATCTCGGCCTGGCTGCTCTCCGATTTTGACTGGTGCATAGACTTCAATCGGCTCCATGCTTCCTCTGCGCTGTTTGCCTTTGTAGAGCAGGGTAGGAGCGACTTCAACTGCTGCTCGTGAATGCTATTGAGTAGGTAGAGGAAGGCCTCCTTGTTGCGCCGTTCGTAGAGTCGTTTTTCAGCTTCTGAAGCATCTGCTGCTGGTTTGGCTACTTCTCCAGTGTAGTAAGGCCAGAGATCCAGAAGGGATGCAGTGAGCTCAAACTGAGTTGCCCATGTTGGAAAATCTTTGCCGTTGAACTTGGGGAGGTGAAGCTTAGGCATGAAGGAGGTGAGTGGTGAGTATGTAGTTGAAGAACTGCCTGGTGCAACTGCTTCCACTAATCCAGTAGCTCCTGATGTTGACTCTGAAGCTCCTCCGGCTGGCTGGAGTGCAGGGCCAGATGGGTTGTCTCCCGCCATGGATGGATTGTGCAAGGATAGGAAGGTGGTGGCGCTCGGTTGATCGAAACGACGGGCTCTGATACCAACTTGCAAAACAGAGTAGCTTTGATGACTGGTAGGCTGGAAACTTGGCTGGAAAAGCTCAACAGAGCTGCTGGACTTGGCTTGATGAGAGAAAACTTCACTATGATCAAGATTAACAAGCCCATTAAAGCACAACTTCTTAAGCATTACAAACATGCAGATTGATAGCTCAAACTAGGCTGCTAGACAAGGCAACTTCCTTGGGAACTTGGGCACAATTCAGATTCCATGAACCTTGAGTGACTTGAGAGCCACATGAGGTGCATGAATAAGAAATCTCTGGAATGTACTGTTATAGCTGATTCTGTTTTGTAGAAACCTGTAGAAACTGTCGACCCTTCTGTTTGAGAGCAATCCCGAACTGTATCGAGTCTTCGGCTGCAATCTGATTTGCTGCGGAAGTTTCTGAATTTTCGCGAAGCCTTCAATCCTTCGCCGACATTCTTGCTGCTCCTTGTGTGCAAAGGGCTGGCGCGGCAGAGACTCGATTCTCCAACAGAGTTATGTGCCTCATATTCCGTGCTGGTGTAAAACGCTTGTTGTGCAGGCTGGAGAGGCGCCAGTTGGTTTTCGCACGATTGATTGTACACCTGTTGCTTTGTCGCTCAGGTTGGTTTGCCAAACAAACCTACTTTGGCTTATCTGCCCACCCAATAATACGGCACGTTGCAAACCCACACCACCCAACCGACACTTCCTCCACCCTGAAACCTTGCCAAGGACAACTTTGCGACAAAGTTGTGTATTACCCAGTTTCTAGCGTTTAAAGCCCAAGACCTGAACTACTCAACGGCAGTCAACTGAGTATTTCTAGGTTCGGCGGGCTGCCAGTTGGAGGTTCGGATGGGTTGAGTGACACGCGAAAAACCAAAACCAGCTTGCGACTGAATACAGTTCGCCACAAACTGTGCACTTGCTGATTGGTTGGAAAAATCAGGCAGGGCCCATCTTCCCAAGTTCGACAGACCTGAGAAGCAACATCCCAGGGAAAGTGTGCACAGTTTGAATAGGGAATTACAGGCACTCGAACAAACATAACAAGTCCTAAGTCCCCTTTAGCGAGGCGCGACCTTAGCCTCTATAAATACGAGGAGGAGCCGTTGGGAGCGAATGTCCGCAATGACTGTACCGGAAAAGTGCGATTTTTAGGGTGTGGAGGGCAATGGCGTTACTAAACGCAAGGTCGCACGTGAGTTAGCCTAACGCATCAAGGCCTGACCTAGCGATTTTCAGCGGTACTCGAAAAGTGTAGGCTAAAACAAGCGCCCTCGACAACGCCCTCAACACATAGGGAACAAGGCGGACATATCCATCGGTCTTCCCCACATAGCCTTGTTACGCCACCCGTCGGTGCAGCTTAGACTCCCACGCGCTCGAGGCGCTCTCAGCATCAAGCCTCCCGCCCTGCCCGGGAAAGTCCCCTCCCCGCCGATTGCGAGCGCCTGCCTTTCACATAGCGCATGGTGAGAAGCCTCCCGTCGGGCTCATCTCAGCCCCCTGTCGCCCTCATTTTCAGCTTCCCGTCGCCCACATTTCAGCTTCCCGTCGCCCCCATTTCGCGTCCCGTCGCCCTCGTATCCCATATTTCGAGTCGCCCACACTTCCCGAGTCCGGTCGCCCTCAATTCCCTTCCCGAGAACCCACATTACCGGACCCGTCGCCCACAAATCCCTTCCCGTCGCCCCATTTCCCTTCCCGTCGCACTCACTTCCCTTGCCGTCGCCCTCGTTTCCCTTCCCGTCGCCCTCATTGCCGATCCCGTCGCACTAATTTCCCTTACCGTCGCACTCATTTCCCACCCCGTCGCCCTCGTGTCCCTTCCCGTCGCACTAATTTCCCTTCCCGTCGCACTCATTTCCCTCCCCGTCGCCCACATTTCCCTTCCCGTCGCCCTCGTTTCCCCTCTCGTCGCCCTCATTTCCCCTCTCGTCGCCCACATTTCCCTTCCCGTCGCCCTCATTTCCCCTCTCATCGCCCACATTTCCCTTCCCGTCGCCCTCATTTCCCCTCTCGTCGCCCTCGTTTCCCTCCCCGTCGCCCACATTTCGCTACCTGTCGCTCACAATTCCCTTCATCCTCCCTTCCTCTCATCCGCCCTTCCTCTCGTCCGCCCTTCTCTCACATCCTCTCTCCCTCTCTCCTCCCCTCCTATCGTCCTCATTTCCACTCGTCCTCCCTACCCTTCTTTCGCCACACGCCCTCATCCGCCCTCCCCCTCATCCGCCCTCCCCCTCGTCCGCCCTCCCTCTCATCCACCCTTCTTCTCGTCCTCCCTCCCCCTCATCCGCCCTCCCCCTCAACCGCCCTTCATCTCATCCTCCCTTCTCTCATCCAACCTTCCTCTCATCCCCCCTTCCTCTCATCCTCCTTTCCTCTCATCCTCCTTTCCTCTCATCCGCCCTTCCTCTCATCCGCCCTTCCTCTCATCCGCCCTTCACGCTCTCATCCTCTCTCCTTCTCATTGTCTCTCCCTCTCATCCTCCTTACCCTCGTCCACCCTTCTTCTCGTCCTCCCTCCCCCTCATCCGCCCCCCCCCTCAACCGCCCTTCATCTCATCCTCCCTTCTCTCATCCAACCTTCCTCTCATCCCCCCTTCCTCTCATCCTCCTTTCCTCTCATCCTCCTTTCATCTCATCCGCCCTTCCTCTCATCCGCCCTTCCTCTCATCCGCCCTTCACGCTCTCATCCTCTCTCCTTCTCATCGTCTCTCCCTCTCATCCTCCTTACCCTCGTCCACCCTTCTTCGCGTCCTCCCTCCCCCTCATCCGCCCTCCCCCTCATCCGCCCTTCATCTCATCCTCCATTCCCCTCATCCGCCCTTCATCTCATCCTCCCTTCCCCACATCCGCCCTTCATCTCATCCTCTGTTCCCCTCGTCCTCCCCTCCTCTTATCCTCCTTTCCTCTCATCCGCCCTTCACGCTCTCATCCTCACTCCTCCTCATCGTCTCTCCCTCTCATCCTCCTTTCTCTCATCCACCCTTCTTCAGATCCTCCCTCCATCTCATCCGCCACCCCCCTCATCCGCCCTTCATCTCATCCCCCCTTCCCCACAACCGCCCTTCATCTCATCCTCTGTTCCCCTCGTCCTCCCTTCCTCTCATCCCCCCCTCCTCTCATCCTCCTTTCCTCTCATCCACCCTTCCTGTCACGGGAGGTGAGTCATTGTACTGTCTGCTCTGCATTGCTCATGCTGTCCGTAGTGCACGTTCCGCTCGCCGTGGCTGCTCTGTCCGCACCACATGCACTACACTGAGACACACTCCCAAGTGTACTGTCTGGCCTGATACATGCACTCGGCACCACTTTTTGCAAACTTGTTTCCGTAGTACCTGTCTCCACCTCTCTCCACCTGTCTCGACCCTCCCGCTTCTCTCTGTGCCCAGATCCGCAAGGGCAAGGGCAAGCAGCGTTGGACATCAGCCAAGTCACCATCAGCCCCATTCATCACTGCACCTACACGTGTTCACTTGCAACTCTAAGCGTGTGCTTGCCTCGCAATAATCCCGTGCACGTGAGGATGCCGTTTTTTCACAAGTAGTGTAGGCAAATGACGCAACACGCTCCCCCATGGCTAGAAGCTGAGAAGTGAAACATGTCCTCCCCCATCAAATAACATACTTGACTGCACACATAGGGCTTCTTCATTGATCTATCCATCATAGCTGGATGGTCATCCAACCACATGTCAAACTATTGCAGACTGTGTAAAACGAGGAACACATGTACACAATAAATCGTACCCGATAACCATCCCTCCCTCCTCGGAACCCTCCTCCCCAACCCTGAATCCAAGCGTCAGCCGTCTCCGAGGGAGTACGTCTCCATGAAGACATGGCTGATGAGGTGGACTGGTTTAGAGGGTGAGAAAAGGGAACATCAGGCAGAAAACTAGAAGGGAGAGGGAGGGGTTAGGGAGTGAATGGGTTGGGGGGGGGGGGGGGGGGGGGGGGGGGGGGGGAGAACTATCGGATTACGCAGGTCATTGAATTGAGTTGGCTGTGAAGGGGAGGGTGGGCAGTTCAGGAACTAAACAACAGGTCCGGAAGCACCCCACCTGTCAGAGTGGAGCACGGGAGGTGAGGAGAGAGGAGCACCCTGCCCTGTCAGAGTGGAGCATGGGAGGTGAGGAGAGAGGAGCACCCCACCTGTCAGAGTGGAGCACGGGAGGTGAGGAGAGAGGAGCACCCTGCCCTGTCAGAGTGGAGCACGGGAGGTGAGGAGAGAGGAGCACCCCACCTGTCAGAGTGGAGCACGGGAGGTGAGGAGAGAGGAGCACCCTGCCCTGTCAGAGTGGAGCACGGGAGGTGAGGAGAGAGGAGCACCCTGCCCTGTCAGAGTGGAGCACGGGAGGGGAGGAGAGAGGAGCACCCCACCTGTCAGAGCAAAACCCGGGAGGTGGGGAGAGAGGAGCACCCCACCTGTCAGAGTGGAGCACGGGAGGTGAGGAGAGAGGAGCACCCTGCCCTGTCAGAGTGGAGCATGGGAGGTGAGGAGAGAGGAGCACCCCACCTGTCAGAGTGGAGCACGGGAGGTGAGGAGAGAGGAGCACCCTGCCCTGTCAGAGTGGAGCACGGGAGGTGAGGAGAGAGGAGCACCCTGCCCTGTCAGAGTGGAGCACGGGAGGTGAGGAGAGAGGAGCACCCTGCCCTGTCAGAGTGGAGCACGGGAGGTGAGGAGAGAGGAGCACCCTGCCCTGTCAGAGTGGAGCACGGGAGGGGAGGAGAGAGGAGCACCCCACCTGTCAGAGCAAAACCCGGGAGGTGAGGAGAGAGGAGCACCCTGCCCTGTCAGAGTGGAGCACGCGCGGGGAGGCGAGAGGAGCAAGCAAGGTGAGGAGAGAGGAGCACGCAAGGTGAGGAGAGAGGCAGTCGCAAGGTGAGGAGAGAGGAGGACGCAAGGTGAGGAGAGAAGAGCACGCAAGGTGAGGAGTGAGGAGCACGCAAGGTGAGGATAGAGGAGGACGCAAGGTGAGAAGCGAGGAGCACGCAAGGTGAGGAGAGAGGAGCACGCAAGGTGAGGAGAGAGGAGCACGCATGGTGAGGAGAGAGGAGCACGCAAGGTGAGGAGAGAGGAGGACGCAAGGTGAGGAGAGAGGGGCACACGCGGGGAGGCGAGAGGAGCACACAAGGTCAGGAGAGAGGAGCACGCAAGATGAGGAGAGAGGAGCACGCAAGGGGAGGAGAGAGGAGCAAGCATGTTGAGGAGAGAGGAGCACGCAAGGTGAGGAGAGAGGAGGACGCAAGGTGAGGAGAGAGGGGCACGCAAGGTGAGGAGAGAAGAGCACGCAAGGTGAGGAGTGAGGAGCACGCAAGGTGAGGATAGAGGAGGACGCAAGGTGAGAAGAGAGTAGGACGCAAGGTGAGGAGAGAGGAGCACGCAAGGTGAGGAGAGAGGAGGACGCATGGTGAGGAGAGAGGAGCACGCATGGTGAGGAGAGAGGAGGACGCAAGGTGAGGAGAGAGTAGGACGCAAGGTGAGGAGAGAGGGGCACGCGCGGGGAGGCGAGAGGAGCACGCAAGGTGAGGAGAGAGGAGCACGCGCGGGGAGGCGAGAGGAGCACGTAGGGTGAGTAGAGAGGAGCACGCATGGGAAGGCGAGAGAAGCAAGCAACGTGAGGAGAGAGAAGCACGCGCGGGGAGGCGATAGATTACGCAAGGCATGGAGAGAGGCGCACGCGCGCGGTGGCGCGGTCACGCCGAAAGATGAGGAGAGAGGGGCACACGCGGGGAGGCGAGTGGAGCATGCAAGGTGAGGCGAGAGGAGGATGCGCGGGGAGGCAAGAGCCGCGCGCGCGGGGGGGGGCGAGGAGCACGCGAGGGGAGGCGAGAGGAGCACGCGCGGGGAGGCGAGAGAAGCACGCGTGGGGCAGGCGAGAGGAGGACGCGCGACGAGGTGAGAGGAGGCCGCGCGGGGAGGCAAGAGATTCGCGCGCTATGAAGGCGAGAGGAGCACGCGAGGGGAGGCGAGAGAAGCACGCGCGGGATGGTGAGAGGAGGCCGCGCGGGGAGGCAAGAGGAGCGCGCGCGGGGAGGCGAGAAGAGTGCGCGCGGGGTGGCGAGAGGATGCCGCGCGGGCTTACCAGAAAGGAGCGCGCGCAGGGAGGAGACCCGTGGGGGTGTGCATGGGCTTTCCGAGTGAGAAAATGTGTCAGGATAGAGTGGTGGAGACACGACTACGTCGAAAGTGGGTGGTGGCGGAGTGGTTCGCGAAGCAATGCCAGGGGGCACGGCGACGACCACGAGGAAGCGATGGGAGGGGATAGGGGTAAGGGCGATGGGAGGGCAATGGCAACGGGGACCACGGGGGAAGCGAGGCAGACGGTGTGTGGAGGGGGAGGACGATGTGAGGGGATAGCGAGGTTCACCTTTTGAGACGGAATGGAGCGACGTCTCGTAATATGCGCTTCAAGCCTTTCACGCTTGGGCTGTCGCAATAATAACTCTCGCGGAGCAACGGGGTTCAAGGTAGGAATTTGCTACGGGCAAAAGTTTAGAGTCTCGAGTAGTAGCCGCACAGCCTTTCCTGAATTACCATTTTCAAGCAAACTGTGCACAGGCAGTTCCCTTCTTCCTTGGGCAAAGGGTGGTTGGGACTATCGCCAAGTAGACGCGTTCTGATATACGACGCAGTCCTAATGGGATGCGACGCCTGTCTGGTAACCATCCTGGCTCGGGAGGTCAACTTTGGGCTCGGAAGGCAAACTGTGCACAGTTTGCCTTGTTTAGTTTGTAATTCAGGTCTTGGGCTTTAACACTTGGTTGGAAAGGGGTAATATGAGACGCGGGCTTTAAGAACGTAGGAAACATGAATGACTAAAAGGAAGGGTACAGAGAAACAAGCATGGTATGAAACCACATAGGGGTTGTAGCCTTAAAGGCTGTCAGAATCAGAAGTAGATCGTAACCAGGATCACCTCAGGAAGGTTCGCACACTTCTAGTCTAGTGGTGGTGGGCCCTTGACCTCAATAGCAGAGTGAATGTAAAATGCTTGAGATGATAAAAACATGCAAATACAGCGATATAAATAAGAGTACAGGGAAATACGAATCGACCTAGCTAGCCATGTACTCTAAGAGGTACATTCCCTTATTCAAATTCATTCCCAACCGTGCGGCGTGTACAGTTACAAAACTGTTCCCGCCAGAATCCTTCTGCCTGCAACTGCCCGATGCCATCTGCTCCGACGGTCCAGATGCATCTCAACCGTCTGACGTTTCGAGTCAATTATGACTCTTCACATTCGTTCTTGATACTGCATGCTCCTTTAGCTGCGGCCGAGAGTGCACTGTGATCTTCATTCATTGCTATTCGTAACACCCCCCTTCACTCCTGGCCGCAGCTAGACTTGGCCTGCTTGACCACTCCGCTGAGTTCGGAACAATGCTGATACTGCTGGCGTGGCAGTCGCTTCGTGAGAAAGTCTATTGCCATGTCACCAGTCGGGCAGTAGGTCAAGTTAACCTTGCCTTTGTCCGCTTCGTCCTTCACGAAGAAATACCGCAGCGCAATGTGCTTGGTGCGGTTGACGAAACCAGGTTTGTTCGCGATGCGAATCACGCTCTAGTTGTCGTAGTGGAGACGAAAGGTGGACGAAGCTGGAATTTTCGCCTCCTGCAGGAGCTCTTGCAAGTAGAGGCCTTCGCAAACTGCTGCGGTTGCTGCGATGAATTCCGCTTCGGCTGACGACATGGCAACCAGCTCCTGCTTTTGCGAATTCCAGAAGATTGGTCCCGTTGGTTCGAGTCGGAACAGGAAGCCAGTCCTCGACCGTCGATTGTCGGGATCTGCTGCGTGATCGACGTCCACGTAGCCGATGAGATTGAAGGATGGGGTTGGTGCAGTTGAGTAGCACAACCGAATCTTGGGCGTTGAAACGAAGAACTGTAGGGTGCGCTGCAGGTCCAGAAGATTCTCAGCCGTTGGTTTGCGTGAGTACTGGGCCAGCTGACTTGCGATGTAGGAAAGGTCAGGCCTGCATGTCACAGAGGCAAAGAGCAGGCATCCCAGCTACTGCTGGTAAGTCTGAACTCCGGCAGGGGATAGGGCTTTGTTGTCAGGTTTGTGGTTCGGTCCCGGAGTTCGGTAGGGAGTGGAGAGCGGTGCAGGTGAGATGTTGAACCGCTTCCCTAACTCCTCTGCGTACTTAGCCGCTGAGAGGTGAATGGCCTCAGGTGCGTAGGAGACGTTGAGGCCTAAGAACTGCTTCACCTCATAGTTGCACGTGATGTCGACGCGCCCCGCCAGGCTTTTCTCAAACTGCTCGAGTAACTCGTTGCTTAATCCCGTGTAAAGCAGGTCGTCGACGTAGACCGTGAGGAGAATGTATTCGTCGCGGAAGTCGCGGCGGTACATTCCTGGATCGTGCGGCATCTGCTTGAACCCGATTTCAAGCAAGATGTTGAGCAGATACTGCTGCCAAAGCCTTGGTGCCTGTTTTATCCCGTACAGAGATTTGCGCAGCTGGCACACGCGCGAATCTCCTTCGCCGTATGTGTGCAGATGCTCCACGTAAATCACGGCGTCTACTAACGCATACAGGAACGCGTTCTTCACGTCGATCTGGCGGAGGGGCAGATGCCTTGCTGCTGCGATGGCCAGCAGGATTCGGACAGAGGTGTGCTGGCTGACTGGGGCGAACGTCTGGTCGAAGTCGATGCCGTGCCTCTGGTCATATCCTCGTACCACCCAACGCGCCTTGAAGCGCTCGATTGTTCCATCCGCTGCGGTCTGTCAGAATGTTATAATTATCTAGCCTGTAGTGGGGTGCTCTATAGCGAGTACAACCTTGTTAGGGTTTGCTATATGTATCCCAACTGCTGCTAGTGAAACCCCCTCTGTCAGTAGATCTGCACTGTGGATACCCGATTGATCATAGGGAAGGGTTACAGGCTCGTTGTCCTGGGGGTTTGTCGAAATATTTTGTCATGTTTTATAACTGCTTGTAGTTGTAGTTAGTGTAGTTATGTAAACTGTTGGTGGTGGTGCACCTTATTTGGTTTCTATGCTATATGTACCCTTGAACCTATAGTGAAACCATCTTCATTCTCCAATTTCCCCTCTCAACTCACTCGACACCTTGCCCAGGTGAAAACCCGCTCGATACCTAAGTACGGGCCTAGGCTACTAAGCCTAGGCCCCACCTCTTAACTCACTCATTCTCGTTCATATCTTGACAGGGTTATGGGCGCACTGACCCGCTACTGAAACCAGCCCTTTTATCCCAATGGTCTAGTGGTTGGGATTCTGACATGGTGTTGGAGTGGTCTCGGGTTCGAATCCCGGTGTATGCACCTGTAGGCCGTTGCCGCTGTGCTCAGTCCTGGGCCTCCCAGTGTGGGGGGGTGTCAGTAGATCTGCACTGTGGATGCCCAATTGATCCTACGGGGGGTTACAGGCGCGTTTGCCTGGGGGGTTATGGGCGCACTCTGACCCGCTACTTAACAAGCCCTTTTATCCCAATGGTCTAGTGGTTGGGATTCTGACACCCTCTTCTCTCATTTCATTCCTAACTCATTTCTTCACATGCTATTAGAGCGACTACGCTCCTGGCCTCTGGGCCCACCTAACTGCTTCCGCTGCTACTCTGTGCTCTGCACGCCCGGTGGCGTACCCCTCGCGCGACCCTTAGTGGCCCCGTCGCCACCCCTCGCAGCCCAGTCGCCGCCCTTCTCGGCCCCTCGCGGCCCCTTCGCGGCCCCGTTGCCGCCCCTTTCAGGCCCCTCGCGGCCCCTTCGCGGCCAGTCGCCGCCCTTCCAGGCCCCTCACGGCCCCTTCGCGGCCCCGTCGCCGCCCCTATCGGCCCCGTCGCCGCCGCCAGCGGCCCCGTCGCCGACCTCTCAGGCCCCTCGCGGCCCCTCCGCGGCCCCGTCGCCGCCCCTATTGGCCCCGTCGCCGCCACCAGCGGCCCCGTCGCCGACCCTAGCGGCCCCGTCGCCGCCTCTATCGGCCTCGTCGCCGCCGCCAGCGGCCCCGTCACCGACCCTAGCGGCCCCGTCGCCGCCCCTATCGGCCCCGTCGCCGCCTCCAGCGGCCCCGTCGCCGCCACTTGCGGCCTCGTCGCCGCCCCCTTTCGGCCCTTCCTCGACCCTGCCCCGGCCCCGCCCCGGCCATGCTTCGTCGCCAGTCGCGGCGCACCGGGGGCACGTGCACCGCCCCCCCCCCTTTTCCCGTCGCCTGTCGAGGCGACTGTCAGAATGTTATGCTCTAGCCTGTAGTGGGGTGCTCTATAGCGAGTACAACCCTTCTAGGGTTTGCTATTTGTATCCTCATTCTTGCTAGTGCAATCCTCTCTTTTTGCCTAAACTGACTCTTGCCTAGCTAGGGCTTTCCTAGCTATGGCTCCTAATCCTACCGCTTATTTTCACATGGTATTAGAGCGATATGGTCTTGGCTTGTGGGCCCCACCTCACTGCTTCCGCTGCTACTGCTACTCCCTGTCCTTTGTGCGCCCCGTGGTGCGCGGCGTCGAAATTAGGGTTTGGGCGCACGGCGGTTTTCTGCCCGCCGTGCGCCCCGAGGCGCGCGGCGGTTTTCTGCCCGCCGTGCGCCCCAAGGCGCGCGGCAGGTTTCTGCCCCGTCACGCCGCGCGTCGCTCCCGGGAGGCGCTGCGACGGGCGACGGGGACCCGCGCGTCGCCCCCCGTCGCCCGTCGTGGCCTGCGCGCGGCCCGTACGGCCTGCGCGCGGCCCGTACAGGCTGCGCCAGGCCCGCGCGCGGCCCGTACGGACTGCGCCAGGCCCGCGCGCGGCCCGTACGGGCTGCGCCAGGCCCGCGCGCGGCCTGTACGGGCGGCGCCAGGCCCGCGCGCGGCTCGGGCCGCCTTTGCGCGGTTCGGGAGGCTGTGCCAGGCCCGTGGGCGGCCCGTTCCTTGCTGTCCCTGCCCTCCCCGCTGTCCCCCGTGCTTCTGATGGCGCCCCACCCCTCCTCCCGCCCGTTCTCCTGAATTAGGGTTTGGGGGTGGGGGGTATGGGGGTGCAGCTTCTGTGTGCCGTTCCCTACTCCTCCTCCTCCTCCGTCTCCCTGTGCTGCAGCTGCCGCTGAGGGGGGGTGGACCTGTTGGAGCCGTCGGAGTGGTACTAAGGGGGGGTGAAGGGGGAGTGGAGCTAGGGGTGAAGCAGGGGGTGTGTGTCAGGGGGGGTGGTACTGTTTGGGGGAGGTTGAACGGAGGTTGCCGTCGTGTCGCCAGCAGCACCTGTAGTCCGGGGAGTTGCTCCGGTAGCCCAGTCGTAGCCACCTGTGCCAGTCGCCCATGGGTCCGTTGCTCGTCTGCCGCTACTTTTAGCCGCGGGGCCCGTTACTCCAGTAGTCCGGAGCGCTGTTCCGGTAGCCGCTGTGCCAGTGTGCCTCTTGTTGCCCGTGTGTCTGCAGCTTCACCCGTCGCCTCCTATCTCCTCTCCTCTCACTGTCCCTCCTCCTCCTCACTTGCCCGTTGTGACTACCACTAGCTTTGCTCATAATTGTGAACTTTAAACTATTGCTTCTTGAACTTGTGCTCAGAATGTGTGGTGACATTGTGATCCACCCTGAGCTTGTTCTGCTTTGCTTGCTCTGCTGATTACACCCCACTTTGGCTATGGGGGTGTGTCTGAATGTTATGCTCTAGTTTGTAGTGGGGTGCTCTATAGCGAGTACAACCCTTCTAGGGTTTGCTATTTGTATCCTCA